CACTGAACTTCATACCTGTCTATATTCTGAATTCTATTTCTGTCATTTTAGCCACCTCAGCCTCAGCTGGGTTTCAAACTCTTGCTAGAGAGATGATGCGATCACTTGGAGGACAGAAGGCACTCAGACTTTTTGAGTTTTCAGCATTCTTGCACTTATTCTTTCTCATCTTTGTGGGTTTATCAACCTTCAATCTTTGAGGTTGCTGACCTTTGGAGTTTTTCTACCTTGTCCTATTTGATGACTTCAAGGGTCTGATTGTAGTACAAGGCAGATTAAGCCAGCTGGCTTCATTTCTGGGAGATTTTAGGGGGCCAACACTCAACTCCCAACTCCTGGAATGCATGTTCTTACTGTGGAGGACTTGTATTGGGCCTGACTTTGTTCTCTGGCTCCTCAAGGTTTGGAATCCACTTGTGCTGGAGGTGCCAGGGTGTGGCAGCTGCAGCAGAGTGCTAGAAAATGTGGGGACACCTGCCTCCCTTGTGGTCATTCACCACAGTGGTAGAGGCAAGGCAGCTGGTGAGGGTGTGGGGGACCCTGCTGGAGACTGTGTGTGCTGTTGCAGTGGAGGTGGCATTGGCTTGGGGCAGAACAGGTCTGGGTGCCTTCTCTATCCCCATTAAGCAGAAGTGATCACTCTGGGTGTGGGAGGATGCCCTGTTTTCTGTACAGGATCAGTGCAAGAGTTGGACACTGGCTAGCTAAGGTTTCCTGGCTCTGTGCCGGCCAAGGATTTGTCTGCAACAACCATCACGGGGGGCTGGGGGTGGGGGTGCACACTACACTCCTACTGGCAGGGCAAATGAAGGAAAACCCGCCCCTGCAGACACACACCAGCCATGTGATGTGGGGAGTTGCCATGGGCTCAGGGGAAGCTGTAGTATGGGGAGAAAGCTTGCAGGCTAATGTATGGCCATAGAGGCCACCTCTCTGGAGTTTTCCACTGGTCAGACATGGTCCACAGACACAGAAGCTATGGTGTGGGCCCCCAGGGCCCCAAGGCTGCCCTGTAAGCAGGTGTGGCCAGGCTGGAGCCCTGGGAGAGGCCAGCAGACCAAAGACTGCTCAGGTTGGACCTGGCTTGTCTGATACACAAGACCGCCCTGCAGAGATCAGGTCTGACAGTAGGGACTTTTTCATTTATTGTGTTGGACATACTATGGATCTTTTCAAACTAGAGGTCAGTGTTCTTAATTTCAGAGAGATTGTATTATTACTGCTTTGGTAATGGCCTCCCTGCCATTTTCTCTACTCTCTTCTGTAATTCCTGACACTTCAATATTCTATCTCTTGGATTTATTTTCTAATCTTCTTAATTTTTAAATTTTATACCGCTTTATATTTTTGCTATATTTTCTGCAAAAGTATCTTGACATATATTTTGGCACTTCTATTGCTGGTTTTTTTTAGTCATCAGTTTTTCTAAACTGGAAAAGATCCTATTTGTTCTCTGAATGTTCTTTTTCACAGAATTTAATTGTTCTTTGGATACAACATTTTCCCTGATTTCTATGAATATATTTGTTTTATTACTAATACATGTGTTATTTGAAGTTTTATTTTATTCTTGAAATTGTCTGTTTCTTCTAGGTTCCTTTTATCTGTGTGACTATTTGGTTTTTCTTTCACACAGGAAATTTTCCTCCAATACCTGAAATCCTTAGCCATCTGTTCATACCATTATGATACGTACTTAAAAAGCCACCTAGATGCTCTATGTATATGGATGGGGCTGATTAACAGGACAATCTCACTGCAGTGATGAGGTGGCAAACAGGTCTATTAATTAGGACTTACACCACCATATACCAGCATCTGAAGCTTTTTCCCTGGCCTGCTCAATTTCTTATGAAAAAAAAAAAAAGTAATCTCTGAGGATCCTGGCTCCTAACCAAAATCTTATCTGTCATCATCTTTCAGGCCCAATCATAGGTCATTACAAAGGCTTTAACAGAAAAGTCTCAAACGCTTTACTGGACAGGTCTCACAGTTCTGCACTAAAGTTGGTACACAGCCAGTGTGTCGCAGTCTCTGCAGGGTGTTACAATCAAGGAGTCAGGCCACCTAGACCAGCCATGGTCTTAGGCATATCTGCATCCTTAGCCCAGACCCCTCCATTCTGAGGTCCCTTTATGGGGAGAGGGGGAAACTAGCCAAGGTCTCTTTCAGACAATTCTGCCAAGACCACTTTATTTGGGAGCCTTGAAGACACGTTTCTCCACTGTGACTCAGTATTCACTGCTTTTCCATTCCTAGCCACTCCCCTGCCCTCTCTCTCCAGGCCGTGGGTCTGTAAGACAGCTGGAGCCTTTTGTTTAGGGATCCCTGAGCAATGAGATGATCCCCACTTCTAAGTTGATCCACCTGACCCTCACCCAACATGGCTCCATGGGGAAAAATGGAACACAGAGAGAGCCAAACCTTTATCCTTTCTGATCTCTTGCATATACTAATGTAGTAAGTGGTAAAACGGTTTGGCTCATTGTCTTAATCAACTACTTGAATGAAGCTCAGCTTTCTCCCATTCAGCTAAGCTCTGTGCAATTTCCTGCCAGCGTCTTGGAATTCTAGGAGTAAGGGTGGGAAGAGAACTGGAGGTCCCACCATTCAGTAAGCTGAATCCTCATGTTTCCAGCCCCAAGTCTTACTCTCAGTCTTCTCTGATGTCCATGATTCTGTATCCCCTCTGATTCAGTTCTTCCTCTGAGTTAGGATTTTTTGTCCCTACCACTCCACTAAAACGTTGTTGTCAAGATCATCAGTCACATCCATGCTGCTAATTCCAGTGGTCAATCTTCAGAATACATTTTACACACCTCTCAGCAGCATTTGATAAGCACAGTTAGCCTCTCTTTCTCCCCAAAGTAGAATCTTCTCTCAGCTTCCTTAACCCACACTCTCCTAGTTACACTCCCACATCACTAGGCATTAGTTTGGTCTCACTTATGTGATACTCTTCCTCTCCTCAATCACTAAAACATAGAGTATTCCATTTTTACTCAAAACCTTTCAATGGCTTCCCATTTCATTAAGAGTAAAAACTAAAAATTTTTTTTGAGACGGAGTCTCGTCCTGTCACCCATGCTAGAGTGCAGTGGTGCGATCTCACCTCACTGCAAACTCCACCTCTCGGGTTCAAATGATTCTCCTGCCTCAGCCTCCCAAGCAGCTGGGATTACAGGAGCCTGCTACCACGCCCAGCTAATTTTTGTATTTTTAGTAGAGATGAGATTTGACTGTGTTGGCCAGGCTGGTCTTGAACTCCTGACCTCGTAATCCACCCACCTCGGCCTCCCAAAGTCTGGAATTACAAGCATGAGCCACTGCATCCAGTCAAAAACAAAAATCTTAACTATGATCTCCAAGGTCACACATGCTCTTGCCTTTCACTACCTCTTTCTCTAACTTCATATTCTACCACTATTCTCTCTTACTCATTGCTGTCCAGCCTCACTGGCTTTCTTGCTTTAACTCAAGCAAGAGACAAGGTTTGGGGCCCAAAATCCCTATGTAAGCCTGAACCTTCAAAGAGCTACTCTCACAGGGTAGGCTGGAAAAATATACCCACTTATAAAGAAATTATGATAAAGATGCTTATCTATTTTGGCCAAGATTCTGATAAAGAAGGACAAAAAAAGTCTGCCTTGATAAAGATATGAAGTTCTAATCTATACTGCATGTCCAGTTTAGGAAACCCCAATCCAATAGCTAAATAAGTGAATAAACAAGTAAGTCAGCTGGGTATAATAATTCTCCAAGGGAAACCTAAGCAAATCAAACTCTTTCTGAATTCACACACAAAAAATAAACCACATAAGTTTTTCACAGGTAATGTCCTACCAATCATAAGATCACAATCTAGAATTACATAAGAACACAAGAAAACCATCTACCATAAGCGAAAATAGAAGGATTTGAAAGAATTAGATCTCTAAGAAATTCATTAGAGAATCATCATTGAAGACTACGAGCATTTCAAATTACAATATTGAATCAAATATACATGAAAGAAAAAACTGAGAAAAACACCATATAGGTTGGCAAAAGTACTAAACAATACTTCCAGATATGAAAAATATAGTCATTAAATTAGCAAATAACAGTAATATTATAAAGTCCCAAATCTTATAAAGTCCCAAATCTTATAAATTCTTTGGCTGGGTCAAGCAGCAGATTAGACAAAGATGAAGATAGAAATAGTGAAACTGACAGTAGACCTGAAGAAATTACTCTGAATATAATGCAAAGATGATAGAAATACAAGATAGAAAGAGAGAGACATAAAGTATATAATGAGAAAGTCTAGAATGAGCCTTTTTGGGGGAAGTGGAGAGAATAATTTGAAAAGATAATTAAGAATTTTCTAGAAGAAAGATGTGAATCCTTAATTAAGATTCCCAGTGAGTCCCAAGCAGCATAAAGAAAAGTAAATCCACACCTAGGCACAGTACAGAACACCCCAAGAGATATAAAATGAGTCACAGATTTCTTGTATTCACCATAGAATGAATGCTGGTACTTTTTCCTGCGCTAGAGAACAATAAAAGAAGTCCAGTGTTTGGCTGGAAAGAACATGAACTTGACATGGGATATTTTGCCTTGGGAAATCTCTGGCTATCAAAAGTAGGTGCCAAGTAGTCTCTTATGGAAAAATCTTCTTTCATATTATTTGTCTAAGACAGGGTTTCCTAACCATTGCACTATTGACATTTTGAGCTGAATAATTCTTTGTTGTGGGGAGCTGCTCTGTAACATGTTAGCAGCATCTCTGGTCTCTACCTACTAAATGCCAGTTAGCGCTCCTAATTGTGAAAAACAAAAACCAGATATCCTCTAGAATACAAACTCACCTCTAGTTGAGAACCACTGGTCTAAGAAAAGATGGTGATTTGTTATATATAATATCTACTGAGAAGCTACAGGGTTTTTTTTTTTTTTTTTTTTAATGTTCTCACTAATACATGGAGATACTAAGTTTCTTCCAAAGCCCTTCTTACCTCCAAGGCCCTTCTCTCTGGTCTTGAGCTACAGCGCACTTCATTTGACAGCTCTCTTGGCCTTCTTGGAGATTTTCTGATCCATTAGCCCTGGAATAAATAAGACGTTGACTTTCATAGTCCCAAAGATTCCTCCCTGAATCTTTAAGTCACTACATTTGAACAGCAGCAGACAAGTCATTCAGAATTCAATGGTTTTTGTAACTTGTAAAATATCTTAAATATACTATAATAACCATAAATATTGTATTCTCTCAAGTCAAAAAGAGGGTCATTCAAAGATAACCTGTGATTTGTGGTGATTTCGATGCTTGAGAGAAAAACAGGCTAATTGTTTCTTCTCCTCTCTTGAGGGTTGATTCTGTATATTGAAATAATGAAAAGCTTTAAATCCACTGAGGGCTTAGAGAGTAACCCTAAGTTTGTTCTTTGCTGTAAGGGGTAGTGCTTAGAGCAATGGCTTCCAAATTGACTGGAGGTCTCAGAATCACCTAGAACAGCTTTTTAAAAACAGAAACTCTCCAGTTTCTACACCAAAAATTAGGTCTGGGGTGGGCTTCTATATTCTTTTTAAAAACTCCCCACATATACTGCCAGGTTTCAGAACTACTTTAAAAAATGGACATGCCTACACAGGTGAATAACTAATCAGCTTCATTACTGACATGGCCCTAAAATAATGGTTTTCTGTGTCATAAGTTACAGGGGTTTTTTTGTTTTTTTTTGTTTGTTTGTTTGTTTTTAGAGTTGTTGTTAAAGATATCAGCATATTCCTAAATAATTCATGGGTCAAAGAGAGTATTAAATATAGAAACTTCAAACTGCAAGTATAGAAACAGAATAGAAAGTCCACAAAAAGATCCATAAAATACACTCAATTGATTTTCAACAAAGCCACCAAAATAATTCCATAGGGAATGGACAGTCTTTTCTACAAATGGTGTTGAAACAACTGAACAATTGGATAACCAAATGGGAAAAAAATGAACCTTGACATCTCCTTCATACCACTTCATACCAAACACAAAAATTAATTTGGGACGAATGATGGGATGAAGCGCAAAGCTAAAACTATAAAGCTGTGAGAAGAAAACACAAATTTACAATAGTCGGGTAGGTAACGATTTCTTAAGTAAAAAACAAAGAGCAATAACCATAGAAGAAAAAGTAATAAAAATGAGCTGCATTAAAACTAAAATCTATTCTTCAAAAGACACTGTAAAAAAAAACTAGAAGAAAATATTTACAATACATAAATCTGACAACTTATATCCAGAATATGTAAAGAACGTTTACAACTCAAATAACAAAGAAAACAGGCCGGGCGCGGTGGCTCAAGCCTGTAATCCCAGCACTTTGGGAGGCCGAGGCGGGTGGATCACGAGGTCAAGAGTTCGAGACCATCCTGGTCAACATGGTGAAACCCCGTCT